TATTTTAAAACTCCGGACGAGTTAGAGCCTGGTATATTGTATAAGACATCTGTCTATTGGTGATGCTTGCTGACCTCTAGATATGTTGTGGGTTTACTGTGTCTTTGGGTAGCTGTCTCGATGATGTTTACATTCTTTTTTTTCATACAGACATCGACAACCACTGTTAATATCTCAGCAAACAGATAGGGAAAAAACTCGGAATGAATAACAGTGGAGCAAGATAGACTCAGAACAAATATAAATTCACATGGATGTGTGTGATTTATTCACTAATAAAAAACATATGTTATTGAAAATCATTACTTACTTCAAATGCCAAGCTCTAACCAATGTGTTTTCATATTTGCTTGAAATAACTTACTAGTTGATAAAAGTTATATAAGATTTTGATCTCTAAGACATATATTAATATAACAACAACTAATTCAGTATAATGAGGGGTAGTAGGAGGGTCCCCTAGAAAACAAATGTCAAATCCATAAAACATTTTTCTGACAACAACTAATTATCTTTTAGAAAGACAGTGTGAACTGTTTATAGAGAAATGATAATTTAATGGTAACTTTGATTGATTGGTTGATGTTTAACACCATTTTCAGCACTATTGAACTATTTATGGCGGTTAGTTTTTTATTGGTGGAGGAAGCTAGAGGGCCAGGCGAGAACCACCGACCTTCGGTAGGAAACCTCCTAGTAAATTAAGATTAGAGTCGAACGCACATGCCACGAGTGGGATTTGAACTCAACCTCACTTTTAACAGGCTAGTGATACAGTAGTTGGGCTACCAAGACCACTCGGACACCGAGGCCCCTCTGCGGAGGTGATTTTAAAGACTTTCTTCCATGATTTTTGTTCAATAATAGTTGTAATAGTTCACCATAATAACATTGAAAATAGAGTCCTCAGCAGTTAAGCAAAGAGAGTTATCAATTTGTGTTGGTTAATCCCTTCGAAGTAAAAAGATGGATGTATGTGTATGGTTACACTTTTACAGGCTGCGTTAACATTCACTTGGGTAGTGCTTTGTAAGTTTTATAGATAATGTTAAAAGGTTTAAACTTAACCTTTGATACTTTGAACGTAGCTCACCTATCTGTTTTTTGTTTTTTTGTTTTTGTTTATTCAAATAGGTAACACAGGGGCGATAATGAATAGATTCACAGTCTCCATTTGATGAACTGGGTAGAAGTGTTTTACTCTCTTTCTGAAATTTTTAAACACGATTAAACTGAATAATTTACTCATTTCACCCTTAGTCTTTTAATAATGTTTTCCTGAAAGGGTCCTGATAAGGCACTTTGATTCAGCTTTTTACATGGGATAGTCTTTTTAGTAGCAATAAGTTGTAAACTTTTCATGTAGACTTCAAAATTTGTACATTATGTAATATTTATATAGTTTGTTAATGGTTACCGTTACGTGCGTTCCTTCCATGCCTGTACAGAAGTTGTTTCCCCCAAAGGCGTCAAGGATTTTCACATTCTGTATTTTTCTATAGTCTAATCGCTGTCTGTGTTGTATCAACATAATGTTTGTTGATGATCCGACCAGGGTAAATGCGAACAACAAATGATCCAAGCTGTGTCTCATCTGCAAGTTCATTTCTTTGTTAAACGACAGTAATGCGACTTATATCAGTATCTCGTTCTCAATCATTGGTCAGAGCGTATGGAAATAAAGATATGCTTCATGCTTAATGTCAAACTCATTTTAACTCAAACCAGGGTAGCTGTGTATAGTAGAATTAAAGATCTATATGCAATACAGTAAGTACACTGTACATGTGTGTTGCTGTATATGAATTTCACATGATACTCCTTGTCCACTACGCAGAGTACTACTTTTTTACAAGTTGTGATAATTGAAGACCTTTTGGTTGTTTTCAAAAGGAAAAAAAAACAGTAACCATTGTGTGATATAAAAATAAGGAGATGTGGTATGATTGCGAATGAGACAACTATGCAATAAAGATCAAATTACGTGGATGGAAACAACTATATAGGGCACTTCACAGCCTTTATGATCTGCTTACTCTTCCGGAGCACCTAAGATCACCCCCATTTTTTGGTGGGGTTCGTGTTGCTCAGTCCTTAGTTTTCTATGTTGTGTTTTATGTTGTGTACTATGTTTGTCTGTTGGTCTTTTTCTTTTTTAGGTATGGGGTTGTCAGTTTATTTTCGACTTATGAGTTTGAATGTCCCTTTGGTATCTTTCTCCTCTCTTCTTTAGCAAATTACATACCGAAGAGCAAGCTATAAAAGACACTTTTATATGATGCAAACTTTGTGATATGAAATATAGAAATCGTTGGCTTCTGTAATTCTCTTCTATGTATTTTTCTCTTTTATGTACGATTTTATGTTTTTGATACGTTTCAAGATTTTTATGAATACTGAAACTTTTTTAATAGTTTGAAAATGCAGAAATCTAACAGATTCGTATCTCTTTAATGGTTTAATAGTTTATAACGTAATGCGATTTAGCAAGTAACTTTGTATTACTAACTGAAGATTTGCCTCGTTAAATGTTTGAAGAGTAATTTGAATTTAACGCCAAAGAAATACAAAAATATACCTCCTAAGATGATTAAAAGTATGCAGTTGTTATTATTTATTTGCATAAATTGTATTCTAGCCAAATCTATAAACTACTTTCCGATAATCTTACCTAAATCTTATCTTTTAATCAAAGATCTGAAGAGAGCTATTAATAAATGGAAGCTCAAAGGGCTTTGATTTTTGCCAACATAATTGTGATATGTTATTTAAGAAAAGTGTCTGACAGAGGACTGAAGATGTAATATTTACTTCTGTTTGTTTTCTTGTTAAGTATATTTATTTGCGTATCTGCGTGTTTTTGTTTATTCAATGATATTGGTTAAAGGGTTAGCAGATGAGTAGTTCCGTATGGAATATAATAATAGTACACAATAAGAATGCATCTATATAACTCACAAAGATAACAAAACAAATTTGTTTGTTTGTTTGCTTGCTTGCTTGCTTGCTTGCTTGCTTGCTTGCTTGCTTAATTGATTAATTGATTGTTTGGGTGATTTATTGATTGATTGATTGATTGATTGATTGATTGATTGATTGATTTTCAATTTAGTGCTCCCACAAAATCTAGTTTGAGTTATTTCTTTAAGGAGGTAAGATATTAATGATACAAACCTTTACTTTAGTACGACAGTCGTGCGATTAAGCAGAACCGGTTTGGTTGGTTTGACTTTTCATATTAGCATAAAACTCAAAATTCAAATTTCTGAAATGACATACATGTTAATGGCTGATATTTTTGTTCAAGCATATTGTTTTTCTTAAATTGTTTAACATTTCACAGCGGTATAACATGTTACTTTAATTATTCTTCCCTTAGTTTATTTGTTTTGTATTTACATTGTATCATAGATCAAATTTATTTGTTCAGTGTATGTTCACTGGTGTTAATATGTCTTTTGACTGAGTTAAACCATTTCAATTGATATTTTTTATAGTGTGTACTTCTATGTTGTGATGTTCGCTATTGTTTCCGATATGGGTGAAGGTTTGGTACCAATAAAACGTTTAAACCCGCTGCAATTGTTTGCACCTGTCCTATGTCAGGAATCTGATGTTCAGTAGTTGTCGTTTGTTGATGTGGTTCATAAGTGTTTCTCGTTTTTCGTTTTCTATATAGATTAGACCGTTGGTTTTCCCGTTTGAATGGTTTTACACTAGTAATTTTGGGGCCCTTTATAGCTTGCTGTTCGGTGTGAGCCAAGGCTCCGTGTTGAAGACCGTACTTTGACCTATAATGGTTTACTTTTATAAATTTTGACTTGGATGGAGAGTTGTCTCATTGGGGCACTCATACCACATCTTCCTATATCTATGTACAAGTTTTTTTCGGTTAGTTACGCTTTCTATAGACCAACATGTTGGAGGATTCCGATGAATTCAGACGTCCTGTAAGTGTCGAAACGAGCAGTCCTTTTGTCTGTAACATTACCGTATAAATTGTAACATTACCGTACAATTTGTAACATTACCGTATAATTTGTAACATTATCGTATAATTTGTAACATTACCGTATAATTTGTAATATCTATTGTGTAATCTAAACATTGGTTGATTGCAGTATAGTGTGCATATTTCTATTTATCAAACGAAAGGTGTGAAACTTTGTTACATAAGCCCAGGGGGTTCACGACAAAAGGATGTGCATTTCTGCCAAGTTTGGCTTTTAAAAATATACTAACACTCCATACTATTAAGAAAGTTTTTTGGACTTATTTATCTAAGGTACATTTTGATATTTCCTTTTTTAAACAAACAATAGGAGGGTAACAACTCAGCAGTTCCGTCTACATGAAATCATAGTGAATATGACGCTGTTGTGTATTGTGTGATTTGTGATTGTTATGGTTAACAATTCTATTGTTACTCGATTTATATAAGGCTAGAGTAAACTTCAAGTTCTACAAAGAATATACCTGTACTCGTGAATTCACTTGTCAGACGTATAGAATATACCTGTACTCGTGAATTCACTTGTCAAACGTACAGAATATACCTGTGCTCGTGAATTCACTTGTCAGACGTCGTATACCTGTACTCGCGAATTCACTTGTCAGACGTATACAAGAATTACTTACATATTTCAAAATCAAATTTACTGAAAAAAATCAGTGTTTGATTTTTTGGTTCAATTTATTCACTTTTTTTTAAGTTTAGATACAATTTAGAGCATGGCGTACAGTAAACACAACTGTCCGTTGTTGGAGACTTTGTGTTGTCTCTAGATTTATTTTGGTTATTTTGGTTGTTGGGTTGCTGATACATTGAAGTATTAGCCACATCTTCTTTGATTCAAATTCATAATCTATGACTAATTTCTTTGCCTAACATAGCATCTGTATACTTTTTTAAAAACAAATATAAATCCAATACTAAACTCTATAGACTTATGGTAGAGAAACCTTTTACAACATACTGTGTGCATTGTATATAATAGCAGAGAAATAGTCGAGCAATTGAGTTTATATATCTTTCAGATTTATTATATTGGTAACTAATTAAAAGAACTTTGATGACTTGTGTAGAGATAGACAACTCCTAAAGTCCTGATTAGAACACTGCCAAATTGTATTGATCAGGGAGAAACAGATGATCGAAGTGTACAGAATCCATGAGATAATCTATTTCTGTTCTCGCCTTAGAGATTTTCTATACAATATTTACATACTATATTATAATTTCGAGTTTTGATAAATCCATGATTGCGGCATCTTAGAGGTGGAAGAAAATGGAGAAAACCTGTTATCAACATCGTATTGCCTGGGAATTGTGTAATATATAATAGACAAGTTACATTTATGTAAGTATATGTTTTCATTTTATTAGCGAATATTGTTATTTCGTTTTCAGTCAGCCATTTGTTATAGTTGTTTAATTCATTATACAGTTTTTTTTATACACACTTTTGTATTAATATTTTGTTTTAATACCCTTGCTTTTCATAGCCGAGTGTAGACAATCAAGATTGTAGATTTATGGTAATAGAAGTTCTTAAACTTTACTTTAAAGTCTAATAAATTTTGTCTCACAGAACTCTACTTTTCCTGCTTTAAAGGTTTGGCATGCGGACAAGCACAATATATCAAACATTTGTAAGGCAGCCATTTGCTGACAATGTTTAAATGGTTGACTATTTTCTGATGAATGTTCAGTGGCAAACATTTCATGTACATTAAGGGAGAATAAATTAAACAACATATCAACTATAGGTCGGGTTGCATTGTGGGTAGACATTGATAACGGTGGAAAAGTAAGATCTATGGAGAATAACGAGGCTTTGGTCTGTATGGGCAGAAATTTACTAACAACTAATAACCAAATCTTAAGAATTTATACATGCAGTGAATATCTGTAACACGTCTGATCACCATATAAACATTTTTAAATCAATGTGTACACGTCTCAATATGTTCGGTAATTAGTCGATACAAAGCGGACAAAGGTTAAACATGACTCTTCAATAAAATAGGAAAATGTACAAATCTAAGTTAGTACCAGTCAGTTCAACGATTTTATAGTTTGTTCTTATGTTGTGCTGTTACAACATTATCCCAGGTTTAGGGGAAGGTTGACTGCTCATAAACATGTTTGAATCCGCCTCGTTCTATATGTGCATATCCCAAGCAAGGAGCCTGTGATTCAGTGGTCGTCATGTTCATGTTTGTCATATTTGTTTTTTCGTAAATTATTTTGTTATAAATTAGGCCGTTAGTTTTCTCACTTAAATTGTTTCACATTTTTCATGTCGGGGCCTTTTATATTCGACTATACGGTATGGGGTTTTCTAATTGTTGACAGCCGTACGGTTGCCTATAAATATAATTGCTTATATCCACTTCATTTAAAACCATACCACATCTCCTAATTTTTATAGTGTAGGTATTTACAAATAATAACACAGCGATGTAAACACTTGTAAAATAATAAAAACATTGTTATATTCAAAATTATAATTTTAAAGATATTTTATCTATACGAAAAGAAAAACGGAACATCAAACGTTCAGTAAAACATTATTCTAAATGCATTTTATATCAAACATATGAGTATTTGAATATAAATGAAATTGCTAGATCTTGTTTAATTTATGTTTCCGACAAAACATACCATGAACAAGGGAGATAACTTGTTTTTTCAGTTTTATTCTAAGTTTTATTTATTATCGGTTATTCTCTTCCCTCAATCATATGGAACTGTGTTATGATCTACACTACTAAATGTATGTTTTATAGCAATTCGCTAGTTATCTTGGAACATCTGTGTGTAATTGCAAAATGAAATCAGTTTGTGGTCGTTTGGGAAAAAATATAAAAATATGAATATTAATTATAGGTAATCAGTTATTGACTGCGCTCTTACTTTGGCAAGTAATCAGGTGAAAACATTTCCATAAATACAACTTAGAAATCAAAGTCTATAAATTTTCTTAGCTGCTATTGCATTGATATATAAATATTAAAGATACAATTAAGTTATACACCGACAGAAAAGGAGGGGCACTCAAAAATCAAAATACGAAGAACGACATCAAATACCTTGCGTCAAAAACAAATAAAAAGAGACAAATAATTGCTCATTTCAAGACCCATTTTCTTATGAAAAAATGGATGTTTAATTTTATATCTTAATTCCTCGTACAGAATTGACCCATGCATTGTACATATTCGTGTCTGCATATCCTGTTAGTGACGTTGCTGTATGGACTCATCAGTACAGCAACCGATATTACATGCAGTGCAGGACAACATAATTTCATATATTTAGTGGTTTGAGCTTGCTTTTAGTAGTTGCGGGCATTCGCAGTTTTTGTGTGTATATTTTTACAGTCTTCTTATGGAAATTAAAAGTTACAGGGTTCAGGTCTAAAACAAAAACTATTTTGGCATACCATATTATCAGCATGAAAGCCTAGTACTTAATTGAGTTTTTATCTCCTCGCGCATAGCACTTATACCTTTTCAGGGTTAGGTGGGTTTTTTTTTTTGGTGGGAGGCTACTATTTGGTTTTATCAGCTCTTCGACGTTTATATCAGATTTTGAAATTTCAAATATTCCGATAATGTTTTATCGTTTGAAGCTATAAAATTATGGCAATCATTTTAAATTAAAGATTCATGTATTTTCCTCACGCAAAACTCTGATTTCTTGTCCGGTTTTTGGGCTTTGTTTTTGGTGACCTTAAGATTTTTGCAGATCTTCAATGTTTGTATATGCTTCGGGATTTTGTAATGCCTCAAGTATCACGCACTGAAGAAAAATTTTTAAATTGTCGAAATGCGCATCTGGTGCAGTATATATTTAATTGTTAATGCTATTATTCCGATGCCTGTCCAAAGTTAGGAATCTTGTTAGTGATTGTCTTCAATGGTTGTCGTTTGTTGGTGTGGGTCATTAAGTGTTTCTCGTTTCTCGTTTTTTTTATATAGATTGGTTTTCCAGTTTGAATTGTTTTACACTGGTCTTTTTTGGGGCCCTTTATAGCTTGCTGTTCGGTGTGAGCCAAGGCTCCCTGTTACAGGCCGTACTTTGACCTATAATTGTTTACTTTTTACACATTGTGACTTGGATGGATAGTTGTTTCATTGGCACTCATACCACATCTTCTTATTTATATTATGTTGGTTTTTTTACAATGTTTTAATTTGTGTTGATTACAGATGTTTTTTATGCACTTTTAGTTTCTTCTCAAAATTTGTCAAACTCGGACTGATCTGGAGCTGGACATTTGTCTATTGTTAAAGAGAATATGTTGCATCCCAAATGTCTTAAGGTTATTTGTTTTGTTAGGTTGTTGTCTCATTGACGCATACTCACACATATCTTTTCCTAACTGTGTTTATTTCAATTTGTTCCTATACCACGTGACCAATAACTTAAAGTGCAATATAATACTTTTTACAAGAATCTACTTACAACAACAAAGATAAGATTAATAAGAGATTTTTAGAGAAGATTGATTTGTTTTTATTGTTAAACCCTCAAAATACAGTTAATATAACTTCCCTGCGTCTGTTATCTTATTTAAGCGTCAAAATTAACATCAGATTGTACAAAATGTAATAATGTATTTTCTGAATTGGAAACTTCAGGTTTGATGTGAAAATAAAACACAGTCTTCGAAATTATATAATTATACAATATCACAACCCTAATAAACTCACAAATTACTTAACAGGAAATGAAATTTCATCTTCTATGATTTCTATGTATAGAATGACGTCATCACACCATGGACATATAATAAAACCGTTGTCTTTTAAACCTAATTTATTGTCAGATTACTATGATTTGTTCATCATTTCAAATATAATTATTAGTAGTTTATCATTACTATAATTATTATTTTATTGCGATTTTGTTCTTTTTGTCAAAATACGACACAGTCAGAATAATGTATCCGGGTAGGGTGACATGTCTTCCTGTGGACTGTTACTTTGTCAACGAGCACGTTAAAAACCCGGCTCAACCTGTCGGTCTAGTACAAAGCAGGGTTAATATTCATATCATATTCATATATGTCCTGCTGCATTTAAATTGTCAAAGGACGATAAACAGCCACCAACCATCTTCATCAAAATAAGAAAACGACGCTGTGATATGTTTCATATCAAAATATTTAAATCCAAGTATCTAAAGCCGTAGACGTACTTGCTATGAATCTATGATGTCACGATTTTGTTCTTATATTACTACATAAAAAAAGTCTTAATTTGGATGAATTAGCATACTGTCTGGCAAATCCATCTAACTGTAGATGTAGATGCTTTGTAACTAGTGATCATGATGATGTTGGTTGGTTGGACGCGTTCTATTTTTATTATTGTTAATATTTTTCCATATGGTTACAAATTCATGTAAAAATAGATTTCATGAAAATAATATTTCTACACTTGATCATTTTTGTTTTTCATTCGGTTGTTTTCGTGTCGCACAGGTCAATAAAAACTAGAAGCAATAGTGGAGATATAATCTTACTTAGAACGGAGTCATAGTTGTCAAATGTGGTTAGTTTTTGATTTTCCTGATTACATTGGAATTTTATGTGTTTTGTAGTAATAAATAAATAAAGATAAAATCAGAAGATTTATTTTGACCTAATCTTAACTTCTTTTTTAGGCAAAAAATTTAACAGATGGCCTTTTCTGATTAAATTCTATTTACTTATTTCCTTCCAACAATTTGATACTCAATGCCATGCGAATGTATTCATTGCAAAGAATTTAAGTTATTGGTTTTCCTTTCAAATTAAGATTTCTGTTCTATTTTGTTGAATATGTGATTTTGATGTATAATTTACTATATATTTTGTATGCCACTGTTGTTACCTCTATCAGTTATTGGACGATGATATGATTGGTTCTCTGTACTTCTGTATCATTGTCTTTGAGGAATACACTTTTTATTTATACCTGTATATTTACCATCAATAACAATGATATTGGAAGGGGGTAATATAATTGTGACAAACGTTATGGTTTTTACTTTTGAATAGTTTCCCCCTTTTTCTGGGTCGAAATGCATGGCATTTCCTGAACACTACAAGCTGAAAATGTAATCCATAACAATTTATATGAAAGAAATGTATACAAATATATCATTAAACAAAAATGTTTTTCAGGCTTCTACAAAAATGTTAAATAATTATTTTATAAGATATATCTATAATATGTCTTGTAAAATATTTTCCAGCTCTTGTACACCTTCCGGAATTGTCGTATGCTTTTATTTAGAACGAAAAGGGGGAAATTATTTTAAAATTAACTGAGGGAGGTTATTCCAACACAAAAAAAAATATAAAAT